TAACTTCTGGCAGGCAGCCAGAAGGCTGGAAGCGGCTGCACCAGTGTCCACAGAGCCCCAGCCTGGCTCATTGCTGGGGATGGGTACATGTGCACCTCAAGGCTGGTGGTGGGGAAGGGGCCATGGCTGCACTGCCACAACAAGGGTTGGGCCCCTTGCTATTCTGCTGCCATCAGTCCCTGGCATGCCAACGTCTTACAAATCAAAGTTGTGGGTGTTTTTTGTTCTCTGCTGAAAAACTTTGCCAATCCCTGAATTAAAATGCTTCTGTTTTATGTTACATTTCCATTTTTACCTTTCTTCATGCCAGGGCTCTTTTCGCATTTTAATTGATATAGACCTGTGGATGTGTTTGCTGTTCTTGTTGAGAGTTTTTAATGGTTTCTCTTCTAGTACCCAACCCAAAACAGAAATGAACAATTTGCAGTGTAGTCTTTTCAGGTATCTCATAAAATATCCCACACAAAATCCGCCTTTCTTCCTTTTGGTTCTTAAAAAAACTTGATTCTCATATATTGAATTATGATTTCAAGCTTTACTCTTTTTTTTTTAAGTTTGCACAGCTGCTGAAAGAGAGAATCAGAAATTCAAGCCATGATGTTTGTGGTACAGAACCGGTGGAAGAGGAGTCTATGGCAGAGTTTGGGAAAACTGAATTATTTGCACTGAAAGCAATGACAAAATTGAGATATGCTAATACATACAGAATGGAGCCAAACAGTAAATTCCAGGCTCATTTAGTAGGAAAGAAGATTCAGCAGATACTAACGGTAGCATAGTATTTTCATTTAAAATGTCAGTGTATAAAATACTTAATTTTACTACAAATTTAAGTGTCAGTCCTGCGAAGACTAGATGGGGCCCTGTAAAGGTACATAACATTAAGCCTGTGCCTAGATCTTTGTAAGATTGGAGACTTAATATAGCAGTAAAGTTTAAACACTGTTATAAATCTATCCTTAACATCACAGTGGGTCCTATCCTGAAAGGCACAACCTCCAAGTTTCTTGCTGAGTGTGGAATGAAGATGGGAGATGAAGGTTCTGACATTCTTATGTTAATGTATTAAGATGTTTCAGGGGTATAGGTTGTAGCCGTGTTGGTCTAAGGACATAGGCAGACAAGGTTTTTTGGGTGAATCTGATATCTTTTATTAGACCAACTTAAAGATGTTTCAGAGCACTTTCCAAAATAGAGTACTTAAAACTCAATTGCGAATTTAGGAATTTTTTATTCTGGTGATATGCAATTTAAGAGTAAAGTGAAATACCTCTATAACATTGCCATGTGATTCATTGTTGCATATGAAGGTCAAGATTAAATAAATGAGGGATTTTTCTCCAGAGAATTTGTAGAGACAGTCAACAGCTGCCAAATACTAGAAGAATTTTTAATAGTTGCCCTGAAAAATTATAACTAACCCCTGTAACCAGAGGGGTTTTCTGGAAAACTTTGAATGGGAAAATTTTCCAGAAAAATGTCCAGTGCCCTAAATAGAGCGTGATCTGATTTAGCATGTTTTATGTTGACTTACATTTAGTAAACAAAACTAAAAAAGTACCTCCATGTTAATGTTATGTCCCAATAGCCACAAGTATTTGAACTGAAATATTTAATTAGGAAAAAAATTAAATACAGCTCACTTAATGTGGTTTAAATCTTATATTCAAACAAATTCAAAGCTTTATGTGGAAAGAAATTATTTTTATTGGAGTACTTGTAAAAATGTAAAGACAATACACAATAGCATGTACTTCCCTTACATTGTTTATTTAAATTTAAAAAAAAAAATGAAGGCACTGAAAACTGCTGACACTAATTTTAGCACACCCAAAGACCTGTGCACGATATACTGTGCTTTGGTTTTGATTTGACCTGCACAGCCAATTAGGTGAATTCATAACTTAATTTTTGGTTTGGATTATTATGCAAGTATATTTACCCTTCTGTTTACAAATCCACAAAACATATATATACTGTCTGTCACAGTTCCTGGGGATAATCACCTGAAGAACATTCATTACAACTTTGAAACTGACAAGCTTGTGTAATATTGTATTTGTATCCATTCATTTTTACTAATGAATTTATGAAACAATGAATTTTTAGAAATGGAAAATTTCCCACGGAAAAATAAAGCACTGGAAAATGTTCTGCCCCACGTCTGCCTGCCTGTAACACTACAGACATGCTGTAGATATGCAGACTAGCATGTTCATAGGTTCCTTTCCATTAGGCTGAGCCTGAAGAAAAGAGAAAATGCATATGTATTCATTATATAGAGAACTAAAAGGAGAATTGTTAAAAGTAATTAAAGGTCACATTATTATTAATACAATTATTTCACAGTAAAAAGGATAGCTTATTTGGTGTGCATCATCTTTTGTGGTAGCACTCAAGCAATTTATTTTTGTTTCTTTGTAGCTAAAATTACTTAAAGTTTTAGAGAAAAAACATTATGGTGGAGATTTTTTTAAACTTTTTTTTTAACTCTTGATAGAATAGACTTCAGAAAGTTAATTATGATGGTGCAGCTAGCAACTTCCTGTGTACTTCGATCTCAGAAGAAATAATAGCATCTGTCAAGGCAATGGGCTTTGATCGTTATAAGTATGTAGTAACTGTACTAACTGTGGAAAAGACAGGTCAGGCAATAAATGTGAGTACACAAATTAGTTTCCTCATGGTATTTCAAAGCTAAATTAAAAGTTTGGAATTGTATCATGTCTCCTGGTACTTTGAACCACATGTGGGGTAGTTGAGAGCCACAGTGAATTAGTGGAAGGTGTCTCTTGGAATTCAGGTACACAGGGAGCAAAGGTGCCACGCAGCAATAATCTATCAAATGCATATGTCAGCATATGGAGGACGTGGAGTTTTCCCACCTTTTGTTTCAGTAAATGTGGTAACTGAGAGAAAAAACCACTGAATTACAGTCTTTACCTTCCAGGTTTTGGAAGGTAAGATCTCTTAAATGAGATTTTCTTTGATGGAAAAACATGTTTCACTGTAACATAGAAATATGATATAAAAACATACATACATACACACATATATATAATACAAGTAATATAATGTAATATAAAGAATTTAGTTATGCCCCTTGTAATTTTGCAGTTTTATATCCATCCTTTATTTTTAATACAGTTATATAAACTAGCAGTATGTCTGTAATGCTGCATGGTCATTTTAAATTTCTAAAGTGAAAAAATATTTAAGACTTGTGCTATTTAATGAGTTTCTATGTACTTTGTTCTTTTCTCCCATATAGATTGCCAGCAGATGGCTCTGGGATGTTGCAAGGGATGACTGGGTTTCAGCTAAATGTGAAATGGAATCCTTTGTTGTATTGGCTTTGCTAGTTGCTTGTTATTTTGAGTAATTTTTCTAAAAGGTGCAACTATTAATGTATCTCACAGCATTCAGTTGGTCTAATAAAAGGTATCATTTTGGAACCAAGAGTTCTAGTTTTTTGTATGTCTCACAGCATTGTGAATGTTTGTTCAAAAACTTTCAAAATATTGAATGCTTTCTTTTAAATTTTAAAATAACTGATTTGTTAAAAATCCACATACTGTACTTTAAAATTAATTCTTTCAAGTTTTATTTTAAAAGAAACTTTGGAAATGTACGTGTGTGTTGTGCATGTTTTATGTCTACTACGTTTCTGTGTCTAAAAATTTAATGATACATTTAAGGACCTATCTTGCAAGGTACCAGATGTCACTTCCAGCAGTTCCTAAGCAATGGATTTATAACAAACTGCAATTTAACAATTTCATTCGTTAAAGCAAAATGTTCTGCCTTTGGAGGTGGAATTTGCAAGAGAAAAATAACATTGTATTTTCCCCTAGGTCTAGTCATATTCATCAAGCTGCACAGGAAGAGTTTGTACAGACCTAGTATAAGAAGCCACTGTAATGTAGCTTATATTTAAAAAGCTTTGATTAGATTAAATATATTTTCTCTACTTTAGTCAACTGTTACTCCTTACCCTTCTTGTTGAACAGTTTGGTATTTTGAAATTTGGAACATCCTGTGTAAATATGTCTTTACCCAAATCTAAGATTATTCTGAATTTAAAATGACTTCCCAATAATTAGATTCTGTATATGGAAAATTCATAAATTTGTTGTAATTTTCCATGTACAAAATTTAATTATTGGGATAGTGTCTTAAAGTCGTGGTCACCACCACTTCAGCAGTGAAAGGATTGGTGAGGGGCAGGCAGCAGGGGGAATCGGATAGCCTTACCTCTGTCCCTTGCTCCCCTATACCTTTCCTCCCCACAACTTGCCCCTGTGCTGCCTGCACCCAACAGTGCCTTACTCGCCTTGCTACTTGTTCCTCCCCATGCCTTCAACCCTTGGCACCTCCCCCCAGTGCTTTTCCCTTTCCACTTGGTCCCCCCTGCTGCCTGTTCCTCAGGCTTTGTCCCTGGTCTTTCCCCCCACCTCTGACATGCTTGGGGCCCCCC